CTCCCCCCCCCCCCCCCCCCCCCAGTCAATTCTCCCCTCCCTCAAGTTGTTCTGCTATTTTTGGTTTTTGGCCCTGGTCAGTTCCTTTTGTTGAACAAAAAAATAGTTTTGCTGCTATTGGGGGGAGGGGGGGGCGGCAGTGGCATGAGAGTTTCTCAAAAATCAAAAAGGGGATGTGATGCCAGAAAGTTTGGGAACCACTGGCTTAGATACTTATACTCATTGCTGGAATGACTGAGCACCCCAGTCTCTAATATAGTCATCCTCTGAGGTAGAGGAATACTATTATCCAAATGCTATACATGGGTAACTTAAGCACGGCGAGGCAAAATGTTTTGCTCAAGGTCTGTAGCACAACTAGGAATTAAACCCAGGACTCCTGAATTGCAAGGCTAATTTCCTAACTGCTGGACCAGAGAATCCTAGAATCATAGGGTTGGAAGAGACCTCAAGAGGTCATCAAGACCACCCCCTGCTCTCCTGCATCCTCCTTCCAGCATTAGAGCTCAATACTAGTGCAACATATTTCTCCAGATCAATTCACATGATTGTCCAAAGTCTCAAAATGTTACATTTACTTAAATTTCAACAGTACTAAATTATTCTGCAGACCATTGAAATCCCATTGCTAGCTAGAGATTTTGTGATTTCTTAATGACAGATATATGAAATTCCACCCAGAAGTTAGAATCTTGCATTTTGCAAATTTTGGTTTATGGTCAGAAGTAATAGAAAGATAAATTAACACATTTGGCAACATTCACAATCACTCTAATATCTTGGCTTTAGTAAGGCTTTTGGCATTGTCTCACAAGACCTGCAAACAAACTGGGAAAATATAGTCCAGATGGAGCTACCATAAGTTGGGTGCAAAACTGGTTGGAAAACTATTCACAGAGACAAAAGACAGAACTATGCAGCACTTTCAAGACTAACAATTTGTGGAAGAAAATTGGCACGACCATATATACCAAAGTGATACATTACAAAGATAGCTTCCCCAATTATCACCCTAATGTCATTACCTCACAGACACTAACCTTCCCCCCTAATCGCCCCCCCCCCATTCTAAAATCTGATTTGTCAATTTTATATGTGTTCATTTTTTTTTATTGTATCACTTTGGTATATATGGTCGTGCCAATTTTCTTCCACAAATTGATCTGAGGAAGTGGGTCTGGCCCACAAAAACTCATCACCTAATAAACTATCTTGTTAGTCTTTAAAGTGCTGCATACTCTTGTCTTTTGTTTCCACTAGACCAGACTAACACGGCTGCATCTTTATCACTATCCACAGAGAGTAGTTCTCAGTGATTCACAGTGGAGCTGAGAGGAAATATAGAATGGGGTCTTTCAAGGATCAGTTCGGGGTCCAGTTCTGACAGACTCTGAATGACAGAACCTTTGGCTGCCCACCTGGAATATGCCTACATTGCTCGGCTATTTTGGGATACTAGAGGTCTTAACAAGCCTCCCTTTTTTTCAAAATATCCCTGTAACTGTGGGTTAAGGGATTTCTTGATATAGTGTGTGATTTTGAAATTTGGCACTATGTAGATGTGCCAAATTTCAAAATAAGTTATTTTAAAATAGAATCCAAATAACATACGCAATTTGCATAACTCAGATTGTGTATCTTATTTCGAGTGTAGGGTGCTGTGTAGACACACACCTGGAGAGACAGATCCATCCTATCATTATGAAGCTAAATGCCAAAGACACTGCAGATGGCTGAAGCGTCCATAATGACAAGATCAATTTTAGGGTATGTCTACACAGTAACATTATTTCAAAATAACTTAGTCGGTGTCTACACAGCAGGCAGTTATTTCAAAATCATGTTGAAATACTGTCAAGCTGGAGGACTTCTTACTCCAACTCCTGTAACCCTTATTATGTGAGGAGTAAGGGAAGTCAGAGGAAGAGTACTCTATTTCAAAATTATTGCTGTGTAGACATTCTCAATTTCAAAATAAGCTATTTAGAAATAAGCTACGCAATTGACGTACCTCAATTTACATAGCTTATTTCAAATTAAGCCCTGCTGTGTAGATGCACCCTTAATATTTATTGGCGTGACAGGGGACCCCATCAGCTCTCATGGCTCTCTCTATACACTGTCCC